TCTGATGATTCCCACTAATTTTCGGGATTGTTTAGTTTATTATAATTTATTTTATTTATCACTCGGTATGCATTTCTAATTTCTGGGATTGTTTTTTTTTTCTTTTCTTATGTAATTCCACTCAATTATATTACCCCTTGTGTTGCTTTAAAGGCATTTTGAACTTCCCATGCATGCAAGAAAGTGTTAGCTAAAAGAAATGAACAATTGGAAATTTTCTTGGTATTATGTAGCATGTATGAGATGTTATTTTCTTTTTCTAAATGTTAATGCTTATTTTATGTGTAAACGTTTTGAATAATTTAAAAATCATTTTTAACCAACTTTTGGGGATGGAAATTATAGATGAGTGAGTGAAGAGAAATGCAAATGATCTTATTTGGGAAATGAGAAACTTAGAAGGATTTGGACAAGTTTTGATCGAAACTTGTAGTTTTTAATGAGAAATTATATATGTTTGCTGACAAGATACACACATAGGGTGATAGGGTCAATGTTAAGTGTGGGACATGTTTATTACAACATCCTTATAAAATAATGATGTTGGTATGAATTTTCAAAACAATAAGATCAATCAATAAAGATGTCAGACATGGTCTCGTCATATAATGCCTCATCTGAGTACTGTAAACAAATGATGCATTCTGTATATATATAGGCCTAAGGGAGCTAATGCGGTGATACCTATGTACGTCACCGACTTTATGTATTCATCTTTCTTGAGATACTGTTCCATAGTGTTTCAATCTTAAATGAAAGCCGCCTATAACCGACCTGTGGTGTGGGTTCGGGTGTTCATCCTGATAGCATCATTGCAATGTTGTCGGACTATATTACTTGATTTGTGGAGTGGTTTCTACAACAATCGATATTGGTTCCTATGTAGATATTTCTATCTCGGTGTTGTTTCTCTAACATTCGCAACAACCGCAGTGAAATTATCTACGGATATGACGAGCCCGGTGGACATAACAGCCAAGTTTGGAAGCTTGGCTTTTATGTGCACAATGATCACAAACATCATGCCTTCTTTGGCGTCCAAGGACACCAAAGAACTTCTATCAATCGTGATAAGGTTTGCTATTCTCATAATCACTATCAACGGGAACACTTGAGTGCAGTGTATTAGCGGCGTTATTTCTAATTTTGGATACTTGTACGTTGGTTGTTTCTTGTTACAACTAATACTTTTACTCTCTTTTGCTGTAACAGTTTCATCCTCTAAAAAAATTTTAGAAGCCAAGTATCAGATGCTTAGCAAAACGGTTTTCAAGGATCAAGCACCACATGACACAATATACATACTCTTTTAAGAGTCTATGTAGCCATGTGGAAAGATACTTGATCATGGCAGAAACATGTAACCCTGAGTTTGCGCTTGCTAGCAATCCGATATGCTTTTTTTCTCTCTTAATTTCTTTAGTCAGTTTGGGATTTTACATATTTATAGCGGTGGCACAACTTGGTTCACCTGATGATTTGGTACAGGATTCAACGTACAGTTGGTCTACGTTTCCTATCCTTATAGCACAGTTCAGTGGAACTATAATAGGGGTCATTGCCCCTATCATTAGATGTTTTACAGTTGTGAGATACAAATCTTTTGGTAGGGGGCTGGGAGCTTATGGTGGATGTGTTCAGAGTGGAAAGATATTGGACTCATACCCTATTCGAGTGGAAGGAAGATCCAATAACCTTTCGGTTAAGGAGTCGGAGATTAAGAAGGTTTATCCGGAAACTGAAAAGCACCGGTCTTAGACTTTTGATTGGATTCCATAAGGGGGTCGTTGTAACATCGAAAATGATGCAAATCATCCCCATTATGGTGGCAAGTGTTTTCATGTACCATTTCAAGAAGATGGTACCATTTACTCCATCCTCAACCAACATGGATACATATGAAGACATAAGCATATACGACCTGTATCTTGATGAAAATATGGAGCTTGAAGAAACATCTATGAAACGGATTTCAGACTCTCTTGGTTCGTTGATCCAAATAGGGAAGGAGGAGCAACCTAAGAGACTGATAAAGCTTCTTGAAAACTTTGTCGGATTCGAGGGGGTAGAGAAATTCAACCTATATCAAGTGGAACCTTTACTACCTGCTGAACTTCCTCGTAGTTGGAGCTTGGCAGTAGTAAGCTTAACATGCATCGCCATTGTTCTTCCGAGTATCGATAGGGACATAACCGACAACTTATTTGAAAGTGTTGCTGAGGGTCTCTTTTACACAAATCTTGTGGAGGAGAGCTTGTGTAATGCATCGTCTGAGCTTGTAAACGCTCAAATGGCGGCAAGGAAGCTGTGGGGTGAATTGGACGACAACTGCATGTGGGTGGAGAGAAGTGGATATCAAGGGAAAACAACCATGGATATTCTTGGGTGGTTTTCTAACAAAGCGAAAGAAATTTTGGATGGAGAACCGGTGCATAACCTACCTTGGGAGTTCATTGTTATGAATTCAATGTACCGCATTGCACATTCCATCATTATGGTTACCACCCAAGAAGAAGAAGCAGTGATTACTGAAGACCATTTGTTTACGCTGTTATCTCGAATGATAGCTGATATCTTGCTAGCCTGCTACACCAACATACCACAACTAATTATAAATAAATGCCACCAAAGTGCCCAGGAGAATCGCAAGGCCAAGGCCGGTGTTGAGGCTATAGCCAAAATGCTTGGTGAGATGGCCACGATAATAAGTATACTTGAGAACCGTGACCTGCCGAGTATGGAACCCCATAAGCGGCCATTTATTGACCAATGGCGTTGTTAAGCTCAACAATGGAATTAGGGCTTCTATAAGACTTTCAACACGGCAACCCTGATGAAATAGTAGAAGTTCATAAAATTATTCATAAGTCTTACATCAGGATAACACCTATATATACTAGGTGAGAGAGAGACCGACCAAATGACTCATAACAGACTAGAAACTGAAGCCCAAGAGTTTAGCATATGATGCAAAAATAAAAACGAAAGCAAAATAAAGCAAAGGACTCAAAAAGATCCATAACAATACCCTCCGCTTCCAAACAATCCTTGACCTCAAGGATTATAGTTGGCCCATACATCAAATTCTGGGAATCGTCTTTGTAGATCATTGTAATCTTCCCAAGTGCTATCTTCAATCTCTGTGTTAGTCCATTGAACTAGAACTTCCGAGCTAATCTTATTCTTTTTCTTCACCATTCTTTTATCCAAAATCTTCAAGGGCAGAAGCATAAATTCCCCCTTGTCAGACACAGGGGGTAAGCCACTTACAAGGTTGTGATCTTCCAGTTTCTTCTTCAATAAATAGGGACACATGAAATACATTATGGATCTTTGAGGAAGAAGGTAATTCCAATCTATAGGCGACTTTTCCCACCCTTTCTATCACCCTAAATGGTCCATAATATTTTGCTGCCAATTTATGGAACACCCTTTTGTTTACAGATTGTTGTCGATAGGGCTGTAATTTCAAATAAACCCAATCCCCCAATGCAAGGACCCTCTCACTTTGGTGTTTATCTACATGGAATTTCATTCGTTGTTGAGCTTTTGTCAAATTTTCCTTGAGTAGCCGGATGGTGGCCTCTCTAGCTTTCAGTGTAGCGTCTACAGACTGATTAGCTGAGTCCTTAGGGTGGTAATGAATGCAGTTGGGGGTGACTGACCAAAAAGAGCTTCATACGGCGACATACCCAGGCTGGAGTGATGAGACGTGCTATACCAAAAATGAGCTAAAGGGAGCCACTTGGCCCACGATGTGGGAGTATCTAAGGTAAAACACCTCAAATATGTCTCTAAGCATCTATTCACAACCTCCGTTTGACCGTCAGATGGTATGCAGTAGAGTAGGCTAAGGTTGTCTGATGTGCTTTAAATAATTCCTTCCAAAAGTTACTTAAGAAGATTGGATCTTTATCAGATATAACCTTCGCCGGCATACCATATAATTTTGACACTTGTTCCATAAATACTTGAGCTACTATCGCGGCGGTATATGGGTGCTTCAAGGCCATAAAATGACTGAATTGCTTAGTTTATCCACAACCACAAGTATTGTAGTGTTGCCCAAAGACTTGGGCAAACCTTCAATGAAGTCTAGAGAAATGACCTACCAAAATCTATTGGGTATCTCAATCGGTTGAAGCAGCCCTGGATATGCCGACGTGTCATATTTGCATTGTTGGCAAACGTGACATTCCCTTACAAAAGATCTTACATCAGCTTGCATTCCCTTCCAATAGACTGCATTTGAAAGCCTTTGTGTTGTTGCATGGACTCCAGAATGACCCCCAGACGCGCTTGAATGAAAGAATGTAATGAGGTCCTGTTTAAGTATCTTATCATCCCCCACAACCAACCTTCCTTGCTTCATGAGTGACCCATTAACCATGGAGTACTTGCTCCCTATAGTTGAACCATCTTTGAGTGTATCAATTATTCCTTGTAGTTTTCCATCTGTATAGACACTTTCTCGAATTTTATCTTGCCATCCCGAGAAAATGCTTGATATGGCCATACAAGTGGTTTGCGGCAAAGGAGTCGATCTTCTTGAAAAAGCATTTGCTACCACATTTTCCTTTCCCTTTTGGTATTGCACAGAGTATTGTAGGCCCATGAGTTTGCTTAACCATTTCTGCAAGGTAGGATTGCACTCCTTTTGCTTAAGTATATGCTTTAACGCTTGGTGATCCGTCTTAATAACAAAGGGCCTGCCTAACAAATATCCCTTCCACCTTTGGATGGCAGCTACTATAGCTAGTAATTCCCTTTCATATGTGGCCAACATTAAATGTTTAGGGCCCAAGGCCTTGCTGAAAAAGGCAATAGGGTGATTATTTTGAATTAACACTGCTCCTATACCCACACCCGAATCATCTGTCTCGATGATAAATGGTTTGTCAAAGTTAGGTAAGGCCAACACCGGAGTAGAAGTCATAGCTTGCTTTAATTCATGAAAAGCTTCATCAGCATCTTGACCCCAAATAAAACACCACTTTTTGAGCAAATTCGTTAGAGGTTTTGCTATCTTTCCGTAATTCCTTACGAACCGCCTATAGTATCCAGTAAGACCCAAAAATCCTCTCCACTCTTTAATATTTTTTGGTTTTGGCCAAGTCACCATATCTTCAATCTTTTTTGGGTCCGCTTTAACTCCATCAGCACTAATCACGTGGCCTAAATAGTCCACTTGTCGGCTGCCAAAAGAGCATTTCGAAAATTTGGCGAATAAGGATTGTTGTCTCAGAATGTCAAGCACCATACCCAAATGTTGTAAGTGTTCCTCCCAACTTTGACAGTAAACGAGGATGTCGTCAAAAAAACTAAGACAAACTTCCTTAAATATGGTTTGAAGATTAATTTTAATTAAATTTTGGAATGTTGTCGGGGCATTTGAGAGGCCAAAAGGCATAATGACAAACTCATATAACCCCTCATGAGTCCTAAAAGCAGTTTTTTTAATATCTGTTTCCCTCATCCTTATTTGATGGTAGCCGCTCTGTAAGTCTAGCTTCGAAAAATAGCAAGCTCCATGCAATTCATCAATAAGCTCTTCAACAATAGGTATAGGGAATTGATTCTTTACTGTGAGATGGTTGAGTTTTCTATAATCAACACAGAACCTCCAATTGCCATCCTTCTTTCTTACCAGAACCACCGGTGAAGCAAACTCGCTATAACTTGGTCTGATCACACCAGAATTTAACATCTCTTGTACCAACTCTTCAATTATAGTTTTTTGTAGGGCCCCATATCTATATGCTTTTAAATTAACTGGATTGCTTCCCTCCTTTAATGTGATACCATGATCTAGTTGCCTGGTGGGTGGCAAGGACTTCGGGTTTGCAAACACATCTTCAACATCTCACGTCTCATAGGTTCAGTGTCGTCAGCAGCTTCTAACTTGATGGACCATAATTGAGATGGTCCCTCAATGGACTCGAAAAGGTATGCTTGATCTTGATCCCACTCCCCCTGAAGCGTCTTACCGGTAGAATTCCCCAAACAGCCTTTATGTGCCCCTTCCAACCGAATAGTTCGGTTCTCGCTTTGAAATTCCATAAATAACTCCTTGAAGTTACATGTTATATCCCCAAGCGTTGCTAACCATTGAACTCCTAATACAACCCCGAATCCTCCAATCGGCATGGCTAGGAAATCCCCCTTGAATGACACTCCATGGGTACACCAGGATACTTCTTTATAGACATAATGAATAGACAATTTAAATCCATCGGCTACCGACACATTACGGGGTTTAGTGGGTGTAAGCTTGAGGCCGAGCCTTTTAGCCCACACCAAGTCTATGAAATTGTTGGTACTACCACTGTCAATAAGCATCAATAGAGACTGTTTCTTCACTATACCCCACACTTGAAGAGTCTGGGGACCCAAAGAACTCAGTAAAGCGTGAATGGAAATTGTAGTTTCCCCTATCACACCTTCGTTTATTTCGGTATCAGCCAAATCATGGACCCCTTCTTCGTCAATAAAATTCTCTTGCTCTTCCGGACAAATAAGCATAAAGAGCCTACTGTTGCACTTATGCCCTGGTGTGTATCTTTCGTTGCAGTAAAAACATTGATTATTCTTCCTCCGTTCTTCAAGTTCCTTTTTAGATAGTTGTCTGATCGGTGATCCCTTATAATGGGTGTTAGAATGGAAGTTGTGCGTATTTTTAGGAACAGACCTAGGTATGGTTGAGTTCTGGTTATTATTTCTTCGTCACCAGAGTATGCCCCAAGGCCCCTCTCCATCCAAGAAGTCAGATGGGTTTTTACCTGCTCCTTTCACCCCCTTTTTCCCTTGCGCTATGACCAGAGCGTTAACCGTGGTTGTCAATTCAGCCAGACTTGCCTGAATCGCCTGCAATGTTGCTTCTTGACTCTCAAGAGTTTAGCATATGATGCAAAAATAAAAACGGAAACAAAATAAAGCAAAGGACTCAAAAAGACCTGTAACAGTGTCTTCATTCCCATCAATATATATACGTACAGATACATCAAATATGCCTTATACACAGGAACTAACCTTAATTCTAGGAACATAGTATTGACTAAGCTAATATACAATATATGATATTTACATATAATTAACAAAAACCTTTGTAAATAACAAGTCATATTTTTCAAAAGTTTGTTTTAAACTTTGTCATCATGAAACCACCATCTAGTCTCTTTAGGAGATCTATCATTTCTATAGTTCTTCACATACCTTAGATGAATGTGTGTTATCCCAATAACTTAGATGAATGTGTGCAGGTTCTCTCAAATATAAGGAATTAAAAAAATCAATAAAAAACTAAACATAAATAAAAAAAATGCAAAATATGGACCACATAAGTTCAGAAACAAGAACATTTTAAAGGTTAAAAGGTGATAAAACACTAAAAAGTTAGCAACAAAATGTAAGGTATATAAAAGCTATTATGAAATTTCCTCTGTTGTTCTTCCACTACTTCTACACGCTTCCTTTCTTACTACAACACTACTTTCATGTTGTATTGAATCAATAGGGCATTTACGTCTTTTGCACAAACTAAAGATCAAGACCCGAGTTTCTGTCCCGCTTAATTCACCTTTTTGGTTGGAACATATATTGTAAATATGTTGCTACAAGCACTAATTTCATGTTGTGGTTGTTACATGGGACGGGAACATTTCTAGGGATATTTTGAATCAAAAGGGCATTTACATCTTTTGTACAAAACAACATATCAATACCTGAGTTTCTGTCCCACTTGATTCAACTTTTTGGGTGGGAAAAATATTGTAATTTTTATAC